CGGGTGTGGCGGGGTGTGCGGCGCTGGGCTGCCTGAAGGTGAGAGGGACGTGGGGAGGAAGCGGTGGGGCTGCTGGAGGAAGAGGAATCGCATCTGGCCGGCGAGTCCGGACACAGCTGCGCAGCCTCCTGCTCCCGGGATAGAGGAGCTGGGGGTGCCCCAAATGTGCCGGAGAAGCGGGCAGGGCAGGGCAGGAAGGGAGATGGGGAGGGAAGGGACAGGATGAGGGACTTCCATGTCCCATGGGGCTGCGGCACCCTGTGCTGCCTTCCTCCCTACCCCGGGGCAGTGTCCCTGCTGCCAGCCCTACCAGCCCCACTCAGCCCCTCGTCCCTTCTCCGGCAGGCCAAGGAGAGCATTGAGCAGCTGGTTTACCTGTGCCAAACCGACAAGGAGCCTGTGCGGGAGGCGGCCAAGCAGAGCCTGATGCTGTGCGGTGAGTGTCCCGCTGCTCCTCTCTGCTCCATCCCACCCACGGCATCCCGAGCGGCATCTCCCGGTGCCGGCAGTGCCCGCAGGAGAAGGGGCTCCTGGGCCGGTCCCTGCCTACCCCGCAAGCTCTGGCTCATCGTGCCCCAAGCTCTGCCGGGCAAGAGCAAGCTGGCAGCGGGCAGCGCTGGCCAGGTGGCCTGTGGCTACAGAGCACTGAGCCCGCTTGTTATTTATTATTTGCTAGATGGCCCTGAGAGAACCATCTGAGTGGGTTTCTAGGCCTCCAGATCGCGGCAGCTGCTGCGCAGGTTGGGACACGTGAGCCGCCCTCGTCCCCCCCCCCCCATCCCCCCTCCTGCCGCTTTGCTCACGAATGTCTCCGTCTTAGAGCCTGTCAGCCGTGTCACGTTTTGGAGTCTGTGTGTCTTGGTTGTTCATAGAGCCCATCCCCGCGGTGCCCCGCCATGTGTAGACGCCTTGTGTCCATGTCCCAGCACTGTCCGTCTCGCCACCCCGTGCTGGGGATGGCCGCTGCGGGCAGACTTGTGGGCAGGGGGTTGCTGGGCGAAGGGCTCAGTGCCAGCTTGTAGCGCTGATGTCCGGCATCCCTGTGCATGCCTGGGGCGGGGGGTCCTGGGGCAGCCCTTGGGATCCCCATGCCGGTGCGGGCAGATGTGTCCAGCTGTTTGCGATGCCAGAGCTGGCAGAGCCCCAGCTCCTTCGCCCCGAGCTAGGCTGTGCACAAGCCAGTGCTGCTGCAGCCCACCCGTGCGGGAGTCCCTGCCCCGCGTGGGTGC